CCTCCCTCCTCCCTCCCCCTCTCTCTCTCTCTCTCTCTTCTCGCTCTTACTCTCTTACTCTCTCTCTCTCTCCCCCTCTCTCTCTCTCTCTCTCTCTCTCCAGGAGGAACACGAGGAATGCACGCATGCGATGTGTTTTCACATTGTCGACATCGCGGAAAGTCGCGAAATTCGCGCGGGAAAAGATCGTCAGGCGCGGGCGGGCGCGCGCGCGCGCGCTCGCGTGACACATAGTCGGCGACACGGGCCGGGTTCTCCGAGTCTCCGTAAATTACAGAAACTCGCGATGGCTCGCAGCCGTAAATACTTGGTTATCATAGTTGGCGGAAGCACGACGGGGCATTATACCTGCATTCACGTTCATCGTGGTCAGAGATGGCGGCACCGCTGGACAGGGCGCTCAACGTTTCCATTCATCGGTGTGGATATCAAATGCAATAGTTCATGGTGGTGCTTCCGACTAGGTGGTCGACCAGTCCTCGACCTCTACCTCTCCTAATCCAACCACCCAGCGTTTCACACCGGTCCCTGGCAGATTTACAGGCGCCTCGCTTGATATCTGCATCCGAGAGCCCCCCCGCGGTAGACGCACGTGTTCCGGATCTCCTCTCGTCTTCTCTCTTCCTCCCACCTTCTGCCGTACACTCTGTACTTTCCGTCACACCGCTGACTTCGCGGCTGCGTCATTTGGGATAATTACTCGAGTAATCGACGCGGTCGAATGTGAGATTAAAGGTCGGCGGACAGGGGGAGAGAAAGAGAGAGAGAGAGAGAGAGAGAGAGAGATAGTTGCGAGATAGTTCAGTAATCAAGCCCTGCGCCGTCCTCTCGTTGTCCTCGAGATTAACGTGATGTATCAGTTGGCTACTAACTTCGTGTACTCCTCCATCTTTTCTTCTTTTTTCTCTTTTTCAACTATTAACTTCAGCCGCGTACTTCGACGCGGCTGATTCCTCACGAGACTGTCGCCGTCGCCACTGGATAACGGCTCAAAGAAGCGTTCGCTGGAGGAACGCGCAACGTGCGCGTAATTTTTTTACGAGAGCTGCAATTCTCATTTCTCCTGTTACATTCTCCGACGTGGTAGGATATCACTCTCCATTCAGCCGCCATCGCTCGTGAATCAGCTGCATGAGCTGATAAATAAAACACAGCACGGCCCGCGCCCTATAAAGTGTTAATATTTAGAGCGCTACACGGCGGCGCGAAGTATCTCCACTGTAACATTCATTCACGCTTCAAGCAGCAGAGAAGAGCGATTCTCGTTAAGACGGCGATCGCTCGCTCCTTGCCGACTGTCTCTACGGCAGATCAAATCGTTAGGAAAAATTGGATTCCATGCTCGAAAAGTCCAGTAGCAGCAGTGAGGAGAGAGAGAAAGAGAGAGAGAGAGGGAGAGAGAGAGAGGGGGGGAACTATTCACACGAGCGGGCTTGTTGCGCTTCTCGGCTTGTGCGTTTGTAACTTCTTGTCTGTTTTCCGCGAATACACACATAGAGAGAAAGAGTGAGAAAGGCAAAGAGACAGAGACAGAGAGAGAGAGAGAGAGAGAGAGAGAGAGAGAGAGAGAGAGAGAGAGAAAGAGAGAAAGAGAGAGAGAGAGAGAGAGAGAGAGAGAGAGAGAGAGAGAGAGAGAGAGAGAGAGAGAGAGAGAGAGAGAGAGAGAGAGAGGGAGAGATAGAGAACGGTCCACGGTGCGTACAGTGGCGTACGTATGTGTGAGTAACATTTGCACGCCCGCAGCGCACGTGCATCCCTATCTTCAAAGGCACGGGATAATGGAATTGCTATTTCGGTGCGCAAACATTTATTTCCAGATACCGCTCGCGTTATAATTTCTGGAGTGACATGCCCGCGATATCTCGTACCCCGAGGCCGTGCCTCGCGTTTCGTCGGGGTCGAGGTAGCTGATGATCGCTTTAAAGAACGCCGGAAGAGCGCGCGCCCTTCTCTCCCTTTGCCTGCGCCGCGCCGCGCCGCGCCGCGCCGTTCGCTGGAGCGAGCTCTTTCTTTCTAGTGATGCACCACAAAGAGAAGCGTTGATCGCGTAATCGAACGTGTCACGCTCGGGAGGATCGCGAGACGGGCGCGTGGTAAATGGCGGAGAAACGTCGGAGGAATGTGTTGAGAACGCCTCGTCGATTTGTTTAACGTCAATAACGCTCGTCTCTCCCTCCGTCTCTCCCGTTATCCTCCCCTCTTTCTCTCTCTCTCTCTCTCCCTCTCTCTCTCTCTCTTTTCTTGCTTTCCTGCGATCAGACATCGCAGGGGTGGCTAGCGTGAAAATAAAAAGCGCGACGCAAAAGCACGGCTTTTTCGACTAATTCGCCGATCGACGCTCGAGGCGTTTCATAAAACGAATCTAACGACACATGTCGTGTTTGGTCGATGACCAGGCGAGGATATATCCGGTAAATTGCGCGTCCTCTTCGCGCGAAAGTTCAGGTCACTCGTTCGCTGTAATCCGCCCCGCGCAACTTTGTGTCTTATACGCAACGTAAGTCCTCGAGGCCATAAATCGCAATAGTTTATTTCGTGCCGCGGTGTTCGATATTTACATGCATACACACCCAGCCACAAATTACTAAAAATTATTCCATCGACTAGCGGGCGCGAATAATGTGCAACAAAACAGCGGCAGTTATCTGCGAAACTTCGTTATACGGTACGCGGCGCGAATAACTCGCGGATAAAAGAACGGTTAAACTGTTGGAATAATATAATAACGGAACGGGCCGTGTTCGCCGTCCGGATGATCCCGCGGCGTTTTATTTCTCCGACGAAGCGACCGCGCCGTGAAAAATTATAATTGATATGGACGGACCGGAAACCGAGGGGGAATAATCCGAAGGCGAACGCTGGAGAAAGGTAGACGGCAGGAAAAGAATCGCTGGTCCGTTGAGCTGGAATACAAAAGTCGGCTGGAGACTTATGAATTAAAGCGAGGATGTGGGTCTCGACCGCACGTCTCACAGAAAGGAGGCAGTTTTTCTTTCCCTTAACGAGAATGCGCGTCTCTCTCTCCAATATTTATTATTAACTCAGCGATTAACAGCTTGCATCATTGCACGAAATATACACACTACACCATTTTTCTCTTTTAATCGCCATATAGCACGCACGAACATATTGGGCTGTTCGGAAAGTAATTTCGATTTCTTCAAATAAATTATGTTAGTTGCCTTTTTAAGCAATTAACCTCATTCTAAACCAGAAAATTATTTTACATTTTTACAACGCACAATTCAAGCCCCATTTGAGAAAAAGTTGTTTTTGTTTGGCGTCGCATCAAAAATGGAAATCCAACGTGAGCATTTTCGTCACATTTTGCTTTTTTATTGCCGTAAAGGCAAAAGGACAGCGCGAACAAAAAAAAAATTGCGCGCCGTGGTGTGGAGAGGATGTGTTGACTGAACGCCAATATCAGAATTGGTTTCCGAGATTTTATTCTGGGAATTTCGACCTCAAAGATGCATCACGTTCTGAAAGTTGAAGCTGATGAAGACCAAATGAAGACGTTGGTGAACGCAAATCGTCATTTAACACGAGAAATTGGCGAGAGATTGCATTTATCGAATTCGACGGTGCATGAGAATTTGATACAACTTGGTTCCATTTGGTACCAAATAAAGCTCGATATTTGTGTTCCACACGTTCTCAAAGAAAGAGATTTGATTCGTCGCATTACCATCTGCGATTTGCTGTTGAAACGCGAAAAAAACGATCCATTTCTGAAACGACTCATAAGTGGAGATGAAAAATGGATTGCGTGCAACAATATTAAACGCAAAAGATCGTGGAGCAGACGTGATGAATCAACTCGAAGCACGAAAGCTGATATCCATCAAAAGAAGGTGATGTTCTCTGTTTGGTGGGATTGGAAATGGTTTCTTTTTGAACTGCTACCAAACAACCAAACGATTGATTCGAATGTGTATTGTCATCAATTGGACAAATTGAATGATTACATGAAGCAGAAGAGAACAGAATTGGCGAACAAAGGTGTTGTGTTTCATCATGACAACGCCAAACCTCACGCGAATTTAATGACTTGCCAGAAGCTGTTAGCGCTTGGATGGGATTTGCTACCGCATCCACCATATTCGCTTGATCTGACACTATCCGATTATCACTTGTTTCGGTCACTGCAAAATTCTTTGGATGGTAAAAATTTCGAATCAAATAAAAGTATCAAAAAAAAAAGTTAATTACATTTTTTGCCAATAAGAACCAGAAGCTCTACGAGCGTGGAATCATGTTATTACCTCAAAGATGGCTTAAGGTGTTGGAACAAAATGGGGTCAGTATACTTAATACCAGAATAAAACTCTTCTTTCTATTAAAAAGATCGTCTTTAATTTTCATGCAAAAAACTGAAATTACTTTCCGAACCAACTCGATATATTACGTACATATTTCAATTCAACGAGTCGTGCTCTTTGAACAAATCAGGCTTCGTCAATTAGATTCATGTGAAATTCAGTCCGGCCAATTCCACGGGGGAGTGACGGAGAGCCAGAGATTTTTCTCTAGTATCCGAACGCGAATAAATAATCCAATAGCGATCGTATTGAAATGGAAATAGCGTTCGGACACCGTGAAAACGACGGAGAACAAGAAACTCGTTAAAAGGCGAACACGAGCCGCGAGCGAGCGTGATTGACACATTTGTGTCGCGAATTTACCCTCGGCAGATAGAGCGGAAACTTTCATAGAGAGAAATCCACTTGTACGTAACAACGACGCTTGACGCGGATGATTGAGCTCAGCTTTGCAGTCGCGATTTTAAACAACAGTCGCGGTGTGTCAGTAAAGTCGGACAATCGCTCAGTTCGAGGAGAGATCCGCGTCTCGATCTTGTCTCGATCGAGATGCTCTCTCTCTCTCTCTCTCTCTCTCTCTCTCTCTCAGCGTCGATCTCATTTCCGCAGCCTCGGTGTCGTTAACGTGTTGCAAGCAACACCGATAATGACGCTTGTCTTTGTTTTGTTGATTTACAGGTGGCCTGGTTGCGCGTCGACACGCAGACGATTTTGACGATAGCGAGCCACGTGATCACGAAGAATCACAGGATCGCGGTATCCCACAGCGACCATCGGACGTGGTTTCTTCACATACGGGAGGTGCGGCAGGCCGATCGGGGCTGGTACATGTGTCAGATAAACACGGACCCCATGAAAAGCCAGATCGGTTATCTCGAGGTAGTCGGTGAGTAAGGCTTCGTCCAGCGTTTCTCGCTAATGGCTCGCTGCGGCTTGTTCCGATCATTTCTGTGCATTCCTCGTTCTCGTCGGCCGACGAGGGAGCGTGTAACGCGCGTAACGCGTGCGGAATGGCGAACTTGAAATAAAGTTGCCTCGATTTCCATTCGGTATTAGCTCCCGCTCAGCGCTCAGCGCGCTCTGCGCCTCGCTGTTACACCCGCTTGCATCCACCAGGGGCGGCTACCAGATATTCAATTAGTGCTACAAGAAGCTAATACCGCGGCGTGCCGTCGAACGCACGGCGATATTACCGTCCAATATGCGGGAATAACGCGCGCGCGATTCCCGTCGGGAAGGTAGACCGGCGGAATCACAAATCCGCCAAACCGACGCGAACTTTCGACCGACGCGGGTTAGTCCGCGGGTCTTAGCTGCGCGGGTCTGCAACTTACAAAGTGGCTCTTGCCGCAGTTCGAAGACTAGGCGAGCACTCGCCAACTGCAAAGCTTCGATCGTATATCGCTGCTCGAATGCACTCGCGAGTAGATTATATAGAACGCTAATAGGAGCGCTTTCATCGGTTCCATCGTTAAAGAGACGTTTCGGGCTCTACGCGACTTTCATCCTCCACCTCCCTCTTCTTCCTCGTTTCGAGCTGTGTCATAATCTGTGCTCTCTCTCTCTCTCTCTCTCTCTCTCTCTCTCTCTCTCTCTCTCTCTCTCTCTTTCTCTCTGTCTCTTTCCTCTCTTAAACCTTCTAACCGCTCGCTCTCTCATTCAGTTGCCTCTCCTCTCTTTTTCTCTTTTTTTTTCTTCACGAGCAGAACTTTCCCAGCCGTCTCGTTATGTCCTTCCACGCTAATGATGAAATCTGCTATCGCCAAAGCCCTCGCTATTTATACTAAAGTCCGTGTTAAGGTTTGAATACACCCGGTTTAATCCTCGCGCACCCACCGTGTCTGGGTAAAGTGGCAATTTCCATAGATAATGTTACTCGTAATTGTACGGAAATAGGATGATGCGTCGGAGATATGCGATTGCGGTTGCGTAGATGCACGATCGTGTAGGATGCATGCAAGTCTGAGCCCGGGTGTGTGCATTAAACAGCGTGGCTTCCGTTAGTATGATATTGAGTGAAGCAGCGGTGTATGTGTCTTACATTGGAGATTTTTACGGGCGAAATTGATCGAGACGCGATTTCTCGAAATTTTCATCAAACCGCGGATCCTCTTGACGTGCTGTCGGAAAAAAAGAGAGAGAGAGAGAGAGAGAGAGAGAGAGAGAGAGAGAGAGAGAGAGAGAAAGACCGAAAGAGAGCAATATTAGCTTTGCGTTTCGCAATGCGAAAGGAAACATTCGTACCGTATCATCAAGTATTATAGCAATGCACGTCGTAGTTACCGAAGTGAAATATAAGAAGTATCCGTGCTCTTCCCTCAAGAGAGATTCTCTTATCAGCGATGCGGACGATTCAAAACTCGTTATTTCTCGAATCTTTCCGTTGTGCTTCAAAGTCGCCGACGTCGGGGGAGAACGAAGTTCTCCCTCGGAGATTCTCTCGTGCGAGTTGTACTTTCTTTAATGGCCTCTTGATACGGCGTCCGCCCCGCAGGATATTCGTGCGTTTGCGCGTCCGTTCGCTGTCACGATAACGATTAATTAAACGCCGCAGCAACAATACCGCGGCGTGAGAGACTCGGCTTGCGAGGCTTGCGAGCGGCTTTTGCGAGCAACGAGCGAGTCGATCGTCGCTCGCAATTACAGGGATTTATGCGAAGCGTATCGCCCGATATTACGCCGTGGATCCGGCGTCGTGCAGCCGGATTTTAGAATGCAAGCTTTTTCCGCATGCCCTCTCGAAGGAGCCACTCCTCAGCTCCCGGTCCGGGCGCGGCGCGGCCCGACTGGCCGCCGGTTGCTGATCGCGACGTAAGGTTCGTTCCGCCGCGTTTGTTGTATACTTTACGGTCTTCCGGCTCGCTCTTCCGCCGTCCGTACCGAAATCAAATTGGCATTCTCGAGATACGGCCAGGCCCTCGCATCCCATCTGTAGCAATCTAATCCCGCGCGTCTGGCTCTGCTACTGCTGCTACTACTGCCGCCGCTCGAGCCGGCGCCGCCGAGCGTCCTCGCGCACGCCAGGACGATCTGACCTGACCTTCTTTCGTAGCTTCAGAGCGACAGAGCGTCTTCCGCGCCTTCTGCGCCTTCCACGGCGCGTATAGAGCAGCCGGCTACTTACGGAACTTCGTCTCCCTCGTGAGATCATTTCGCAACCCCTCATGGTCTCCTCCTACCTCGGACTAGTCTCTGCCCCCCCCCCACTCCTCCCTCTCTCTCTCTCTCTCTCTTTCTCGCTTTCTCCAGCGAGCGTCACCGTCGCCGCGCGCTTTCTATTTTAACGGCGTTCGCGCAGCTCGTGGGAGTGCTACGTCGTCGCGGTCGTCGCTTAAGAAATCTTCTCGCCCGTGTAGGTAGGCCGCTCCGGAGAAAAGGAAGCTGGCTTGCTATGGTTGCCAACGGGTAGATCGTGGCGAACCCTTCGGGAATTCGCCTTTATGCGAGCGAGGAGCGCTTCTGGTTGTAAATAGCGCGCTGTGTTCAGCAGGGCATACGGAACGAATGGTCTAAGGAAGAAGCATCGAGCTCGCGCGAAGCGTCCCCGCGACGTCTCCAGGTGATCTTTATTTCATCCTCGCGCTCGTGTGATCTATATACAAGCGCGAATTTCATTCACACGTATTGTAAGTCACACGAGCGAAACCGATATCCGATGTACGTGTTCTTATAATATTGTAATTCTCTACAAAATTAACAGTATGGTCTTCTAGTATACGCGTGTATCAGAGAGATTTGAGAGAAGTACATATTCATTAATCATATTCAGGTCAGCTTGAAGAGGAAACCTCAAATACACTTGAGAAATCTTCTCGCGTGTGGGAAAGAGAGTGGCTGACAGCGCTTCACGGGAGGAAACTGATTTTCGGTGCAAATGATTCTCTCTGTATAATTAGGAGCTTTAGCCTCGAGGTAGCAAAATAAGTTGTTGCACCTCTTATTTAAATTAAAACGCACAGCGTTTATTTATAATAATAATAATAATAATTCCATACACTTTTTTAATATTAATAATATACGTTCCAGCAATTGCAAACTTAAAAATTAAATAATTAAATAATTTACGCAGTTACACACATCCGTGTCCGTGTGATATTTGGATATTTTATCTTTTCCATACAATTTTACGCGAAAACAGTTAAATTATAAATTAGATGAATTATTGTGGATCCGAAAATCCAACAGAATGTCTATATTATTTAGCTTTTGGTATTTTACGTTTATTATAAAATCAGAACAATCGCGGGCTAGAATGTTACGAGTGTGTAAGCCGCTTGCTCGGTTCTCGTAACAGATTATTGGATTGTTCGGAAAGTAATTTCGGTTTTTGCATGAAAATTAGAGACGATATTTTTAATAGAAAGAAAAATTTCACTCAAGTATTGAGACTATATTGTTTTAATACCTTTTGCCATCTTTGTTTCTGGTTCTTATTGCCAAAAAAATTAAATTAAGTGCTTCTCGACACCTTCACCCTTGAATCGCAATTTTTACCATCCAAAGAATTTTGCAGTGACCGAAGCAAGTGATAGTCGGATGGTGGCCAGATCAGATGAATATAGTGCTTGTGGTAGCAAATCCCATCCAAGCGCTAATAACTTGTGTGGGATCTGGTGTTGTCATGATGAAACACAACACCCTTCTGTTCGCCAATTCTGGTCTCTTCTGCTTGATAGAATCATTCAATTTGTTCAATTGATGATAATACACATTTGAATCAATCGTTTTGTTCGTCAATTCCGGTCTCCTCTGCTTGATGGAATCATTCAATTTGTTCAATTGATGATAATACACATTTGAATCAATCGCATTGTTCGTCAGTTCTGGTTTCCTCTGCTCGATGGAATCATTCAATTTGTTCAATTGATGACAATACACACTGGAATTGTTTGGTTTTTTGATAGCAGCTCAAAAAGAAACCATTCCTTTTCAATCCCACCAAACAGAGAACATCACCTTCTTTTGATGGATATCAGCTTTCGATGTGCTTTGAGCTGGTTCATCATGTCTCCTCCATTATCTTTAGCGTTTAATATTGTTCAACACAATCCATTCTTCATCTCCAGTTATGAGTCGCTTCAGAAGCGGATCGTTTACCTCGCGTTTCAATAGCAAATCGTAGATGATAATGCGACGAATCAAATCTTTTTCTTTGAGAACATGTAGAACCCAAGTATCGAGCTTTGGAACGAAACCAAGTTGTTTCAAATGCTCATGTTCGATCGAATTCGATAAATTCAATCTCTCAGCAATCTCTCGTGCTGTTAAACAATTTGCGCCCACCAATAGATGGTGCTAATTGCCTTTTTAAGCAATTAACTTCAATATAAACAAGAAAATCATTTTACATTTTTGCAACGCACATTTCAAGCTTCATTTGGAAAAAAGTTGTTTTGGAATCTATCAAGTTGTTTTTGTTTAGCTCCGCATTAAAAATGGAAAATCAACGTGAGCATTCTCGCTTCACATTTTGCTTCTTCTTTTTTTGCGATAAAGGCAAAAATACGTTTTTATTTGGTCCTCATCAGCCTCAACTGGCCTTCCATTTAACGTGATGCATCTTTGAGGTCGAAATTGCCAGAACAGAAAATCTCGAAAATCAATTCTGACACTAGCTTTCAGTCAACACATCCTCTCCATACACGGTACACACAATTCTTTCTTGCTTGCGCTGTAGTTTTGCCTTTATGGCAATAAAAAACCAAAATGTGGCGAAAATGCTCACGTTGGTTTTCCATTTTTAATGCGGAGCTAAACAAAAACAACTTGATAGATTCCAAAAAAGAACTTTTCCTCAAATGAAGCTTGAAATATACGTTGCGAAAACGTAAAATGATCTTCTTATTTAGAACGAAGTTAATTGCTAAAAAAAGGCGACTAGCAGCG